GGTGGGGGGGCAGACCTGTGCACAGAGAAACACCATCACCCCGTGGTGCATGCAGCATGGCACCTGTGCGTGTGGCCCTGGGGGCAGGGGTGGGAGGCTGGCTGGAGAGGGTCCCCTGCTCAGGGCTTCCTGTGCACAGCACGCGGGAGCAGGTAGCCCAGGCGGTAGCCTGGTGCAGTTGGAGCTGGAAGTGGTGCAGCTTTTCTCCCTTGTTTCTGGGGCTGCCAGGTTTAGTGCGGTCACTCCAACAACAGAGGGGAGTGTAGGAAGAGGCGTGCTGTGCGTGGTCAGCCCGCCAAGGGGAACCAGGAACTGGAACTGCACTTGGAAACCGCATAGGAAGTCTTAGGGGACACTTGACAGTTTGTTTTTAAAAAAACGTGGCTCAATTTTAGCTATCTCCTGGAGCGTAAAACCTGGAGAAGATGAATGACTATCTTTAAGGTGAATCAGTGTTTTAAAGAAAGAGTCTTTATTAGAAACGAGGTTTTATTTGCCCACAATTTTTGGTAAAGTTCAAAATTCTGCTATCAGTTCGTTTACAGTGGTTTGCATTTCTCATTCACGTCGTCCTTCCCTCTGCCTTCTCCTTCTCCCTTCCCCCCTTCCTGGATACCCTTACAGACACCTTGTGTGCCGGCCCATGTGTGCCAAAGCCGTTACCTTGGCCGGCTCTCGCCTCTGCTTCCTTACCTGTGAACGGAGAGCTTGGGTTTGCAGACCCTAGTCATCTCCCAGATTGCGTGGCACCCGAAAGAGTGGCTCACGAGCCCCACATCACCTGGTGTTTATCATCTGTTGATAGAAAAGAATTTTATGTCAGTGCCTCTTCTCCTGTCCTTCTGAGCTGTGTGTCCAGACCACGCTATAGAAACAGCAATGGTTGGTGGATTCTTCACTGGTGATGGTGCCCCTCCCGGCAGGCTGTCTCTGTTAAAGGTACAAAAGGTGGAATGTTGGGTCGTTTAGAAGTCCCATCAGGTGCACTGTGTGAATCCATGACCAGCCTCAGATGGTGCATGCGGTGGGGACTCCCCTGCCAGGCTGGGTGGATGGACGATGCTTGTGCAGGGAATGGGGCTCCCCGGAGTCACAGGGTCAGCAAAGGTTCGGAATAGAGCAGAAGCGTCCTGGGAGCAGGGTGGAGAACAGAGTTCCACAGAGCTGCCCCCTAAGGAGGTGGGGAGCGCTGGCTGAGGGGTCCCCCTGTCCCAAGAGTGAGGGGCAGCCGCAGAGGCCAGAGAAATGGCAAAGGGGGGGCTCCACTGAGAACTTTTCACCCTGGTGACAATCGCAGGCTGACCATTGGGGGGCCGTCTGCCCGGGATGGGGTGTGCGTGGTGCACGAGGAGAAGCGGACTTGGCTCCTCCTGAGGTGTGCAGGCGGGTGGAGGAGGAGGGAGATGCTGACGGACTCCGTGTGCCGCAGAAGCAGCTCTGGGCTCGCTGGGGCGCGGAGCCTGGATTCTGAAAGCGGTTGGGGAGCGCCAGGCAGGGCAGCGGAGCCGGGTTCTAGGCCTCCCTGGGCACCGGCTCTGTTGCGTGAGAGGGAAATCGTGGCCCTTCCATTGCGGGCTGGTCAGGTGCGCACCCCTGGCCCGTCCTCTCGGCTTCCCATCCTGCTCCCCGGGTGGCAGGGGGGCGCCCTTCACTCGACTACGTGGAGGGCCCAAGTGTTCTGAGGTTTGACCATGTGGACTGTTGTCCTTTTGCTTGTGTGTCTCCTGGATCTTGTCCTGGAGCCTGTACCTGTCCCCGCTGGCTGTGAGGTCAGTTTCCTTACCCTAAGATCCCAGGTGCCCAGAACGGCCTGTGTTTGTCATCATCTTTATGGAAATCCTCAGGGGCAGCCTCAGTCTCTGGCCGAAGCCTTCAGGATCATTGACGGCAGCTTGACGTGGACGATGAGGCTCAGGACAGGCGTGAACACAGCAGAGGCTCGCCCGCACGGAGCTTTGCAGGGTGTGGGTCTCACGCAGTCAGCACGTTGGCAACCGTGGAGCGCGCCTGGCGCTCGGAGACAGAGCCTTGGCCGTGCCTCCTCTCAGCGCTGCTGCCCATTCACAGGCTGGTGACTCGACATTTGTTTTATGGCCGCTGTCTGTGCAGGGACACCTGAGTTCTGAGAGGGCCTACAGAGTTACCAGCCGGTGCGCTGGGCCACGGTCCAAGTTTCCACAGGGCCCTGCACGTGGTCTGCTTTCCCCTCCTCTGATTTTAGAGACCGAGGCAGGGTGGTGGGAGCTGACGGAGGCTTCTCAAGCCCCCTTAGGCCGTCTGCGTGAAGGCCCCGGCAGTGGACCCGGGTCTCCCCCCTGCACTGGGGTCCGTGTGCAGGTTTACGGAGCTGCTGAAATCACACTTACCATCTGGGGTATGGCGCGTTTTTCTGGGGAGGCTGTCTAAAGCTTTCGTGAAATTCACCAGGAGGACCACTGAAAGGTCCCTTTTTAAAACTGTATGATTGAGGGTCTTTATTGCCGCCTGTCCCCTTGTTAGAGGGGCTGATGAGAAGAGTCCGCCGCAGGGAGGAGGCGGACGCACGCCAGGAGCCTCTTGTGGGTACAGGGGACTTGACATTTCTGTGTCTTGGGGTGGGACAGGGTCAGTTCTTCTTCAGAGGACATAGAAGCAAAGGGACAGAGCTGGCCTTGTGGAGGGAGAAGGGACATGGCGCGTGTGCCACTGCCTCGTGGCTCATTGTCCACGGAGCCAGACGAGAAGGTGAGCCACAGAAGGTGGGCAGGAGACTCTGGAACAGGTCCTGCCTCTCACATTCCTGCACCTGACAGAAAATGGGTCTGGAGAGAACATGTAGGACTTCAGCCGTTGATGTCAGAGGCGCCTGGTTTAGGAGATTCCCCTGCTTGAGAAGTTCCTGGTAGTTTACCTAAATGATGAAGTTCATGACAATTGTCCTTTGAGATCAGGGTGTGGAGGGTCACTTTGAAGAGGGGCTGGCATGGATACTTACATACTGTCCAGGAGTTTATTTTAAGAAATAATCAAGCCCGTCGTTCATCCCAGAGCTGTCTTCTAGAAAAGTTGGAAACCAAACATCGAATACTAGGGCACTGGCTAAACAGATTACATAGACCCACACAATGGAATACTAGACAACCCTTGAAAACATTATCTAGAAGAATAATCCTATAGAAAGATGTCCTATAAACATTGTTGTGTGCAAGAAGGTCTGTGGCACTTTTGCAGAAAATACACTCTTCCAAAAGTCCTGGTTGGTGGCTGCCATGGGCCAGGTGACCCGCTGGGTACGGGCGACACAGAGGTGAGCGCAGGTCAGGTCCCTGCCTCAGCAAGCCTGTGGTCTCCTGGGGAAGAAGTGAAGCCTTGCTGACTTTCCCATAAAAAGGTGTTTAAATACTGTGCAAAGAATGACTCTTTTTTTTTTTTTTTTTAAAGATTTTATTTATTTATTTGAGAGAGAGCACATGAGAGGGGGGAGGGTCAAAGGGAGAAGCAGACTCCCTGCCGAGCAGGGAGCCCGATGCGGGATTCGATCCAGGGACTCCAGGATCATGACCTGAGCCGAAGGCAGTCGCTTAACCAACTGAGCCACCCAGGCGCCCAAGAATGACTCTTAATAAGGAATTTTTAAAACTTTAAAGTCCGAACTACTGTCTCCTCTGCCGTATTCCTGACCCGAAACCACCGATTTTCCAGAAAGTCGGAAGCCGGTCATCGAGGTGTCTTCCTGCTCATGCCCACTGTTCAGTCGTCTTCTTGCAGAATCCTCTTCCCCCCACATAGTGCAAGGCTCTGCGGGTGGAAAAGGATGGTGGCACATGGTTCTGGAGGGGGATGCCCCTGCTCTACTTCCTGGCTTCTGTCCTCTGTGCTGGTCCCCAGCTCGCCTTTGGCCCTCATTTGCCACCTCTCTTGGCCCCATGTCGCTCTGAGTCTTTGCCCCTGACGTCTGATTGTCTGTGGTGTTGGCAGCCATGTGGAGTAGAGCTCCGTTCTTAGAAATCACCTTTAAATCTTTCCTCGGAGCCTGGTGAGGTCTGGATCGGAGTGTCTGGGTGTCCTGACTCCCCGTGACCCCCTTTTCAAGAGCCGACAGCCCCAGCCCCTCCAGTCACCACGCAGATCTGCGGTAAAAACCAGTATGCATTTCCCATTGCTGGCCGTACAAAGCTGCAGGGAAGGTTGGGGAGGCCTAGGGCTCTGTTCTCAAGGGTGGCCCTCCAGAGGGGGCAGCTGGCGATGGACCTCCCGATGAGGCCTTGTGATGGAATGCCGAGTGCCCTGCAAGACTGGGCTAACATGTTCAGGAAGGCGGTCTGCGGGAGGGCAGGTGTGTGCTGGGGGTAGATGCGGGCTGGGCTGGGTCACCCGGGGCCCCTCTGAATAGTCCCCTGGGGTCTGGCTGTTGAAGGCTGCTTTGCATTTGCCTTTTAGCCTAGGTTTGGTTTTCCTTTAGAAAACCTTTCTCCTGCCTTCTCCTCCTCACCCCCTTTCCCCCACTCTTCTCCCTTTCTCCCCTACTTTTCGTCTTTCTCCTCCGCTTAGAAAATACAGAAGCAAAAAGAACATCGTCCAGAATCCTATCACCCGTCCATAACCATTGCTAGCATTTTGGTATGTGTCCCTCCCATCAGTTTTACGTAAACATTGGATGTGCGTGCAATGAACATTTGGCCAAATGCCAAAAGATGGAATGTTAACAGGACCTGTATTGCCAAAAGGAAGTCTCAGTGCTCTAGAAGGGACTTCTGGGATGCAGCAGAAGTCTGAAACTTTATGAAAATGATTACGATGTTATTAAGATGATAACAGCACTGTGGCACAGGAAACTTAATTTCTTTTTTTTTTTTTTTTAAGATTTTATTTATTTATTTGAGAGAGAGAGAATGAGAGAGAGCAAGCACATGAGAGGGGGGAGGGTCAGAGGGAGAAGCAGACTCCCTGCCGAGCAGGGAGCCTGATGCAGGACTCGATCCAGGGATTCCAGGATCATGACCTGAGCCGAAGGCAGTCGCTTAACCAACTGAGCCACCCAGGCACCCAGGAAACTTAATTTCTTAGTGTGTGGTGTGCATAGTGAACGTCTGTGGTCCAGGGTAGGTGACTGCCCAGCCAGGGAGGAGGGGGCAGCAAGGGTTTGTGTTTTTTGTTTTCGAATAATGATTATTGTTTTGGCCAGCTGTCAGGGTAACGCACCATGAGGGGAAGTTTGTCTCCTACTTATTAAACTTTTGTCCAATCACTGACATCTCTCTAACTCCTGGACCCGCCACTTTCCTTGGCGATGAGGGTGCAGTTGTGGAAAGCGGCCCCTCACCCCAGCCTTGTGCTGTGCCTGAAAAAGAGACTATGCGGATAATCTCAGGAGCAGAAGTGAGATTGTTGCCTTCAGACAGATTTTTTCCCTGGTATTTTGGCATGCGACTCCTGCCTCACACAGCCACTTGAGAGGAAAATGGTCCTGAAGCCTTGACTTGAGAAGCGTGGCGTGGAGCGGTGTCACTGGCTTTCAGGATAACAAAGCTGTTTTCCAAATGTCCATCTGCATCTCGACTTTCACTTCCTGCACACCAATTTCAGCATCTTCCCTGGAGAAGAATGACAGAGGAGTCTGTGGACAGGTAGCAGGTGAGAAATACTTGTTCTCTCAGGCACCCCAGGTTCTAACAGCGAATGTTGTTAAGTCCGTCGGCATGCTCTGTGGACTCTGCTCTCTTCAATAGACAGTGTTCGAATTTTATTCAGGCAGCCTTTTAAAATAGGCAGTAACCAGCCATTCCATCCTGTCTTTGAACGTCTCAGTACATCTTTGTCGTGGCGTATGTACGTAGGTACTCCTGTAAGTCGTAAGTGCAGGACAAAATCCCTTGGGTGTCATGTTGTTTGTATTTGGGTGGAAGAGGTTTTTATTCTAAGATTCATCCGGAATGCTCACCGACATTTGGAAATCAGTCTTCCGATACTAACAGTAAATATTTGAACGATGTGCCTGGTTTGCGTTACCAATGCTGCCGTGCTGGGGGGTGCGATGCACTGATCACACATCAGTTCAAGGATGCCAGAAACAGCTGAAGAAGCATTCTGCTCTTCGGCCTTCCAGATCGAAACCCAAGATTTTGGCCGAGTATGGAAATTGAAGACAGCTCTGGTGTATCTTTCGATGTACATAGTAATGTATATTTTATTCGTATAGGCTTAAAGCCTACTATTTCTAAGATATGACTAAGAATGTTCCAAATCTATAATTTGCTTTGAAAGAGTACAAACATCTTTTATTTTGTTTTAATTATAGTAAAATATACATAACAGAAAATGGACCATTCATGGCGTTAAGTGGACCCACCGCCGTCTGTCCAGGACCCCCTCATCCTCGTGAGCTGAGATTCTGTCCACATTAAACACTAGCTCTCCGTTCCCCCTGCCCTGCAGCCCTGGCACCCACTCTTAACTTTCTCTATCTATAATTTTATCTACTCTAGGGACCTCATGTAAGTGGAACTGTACAGTACTTGTCCTTTTGTGTGTGGCTTATTTCTATCTTTAAATAGGTTTTTTTTTTCCTTTTTAAGATTTTATTTATTTGTCAGAGAGAGAGAGAGAGCACGAGCAAGGGGGGTGGCAGAGGGAGAAGCAGGCTCCCCACTGAGCAATGAGTCTGATTCGGGACTCTATCCCAGGACCCTGAGATCATGGCCTGAGCTGAAGGCAGACGCTTAACTGAGCCACCCAGGCGTTCCCCCCCTTTTTTTTTTAAATAAGGAAAAATGTGTGCCTTCTTGTGATCAGTTTTGCTGTTGGGCCACGACGCTCAAGTTTGGTCAAGGAGCTGCTTCCCTCGTGGACCTAAGAACACCCAAGTGCTTTGAGCAGTGTTCGGCTGAAGCGGTGTAGTATTTGCCTGAGGTCAGGAGAGCAGTTTCACGGAACAGAGGGTCCCCGGCTCACCATGTTTTAACTTTATGATGATGTGAAAGTGATGTAGAAACCGCACTTGGAATTTCGAGTTTGGACGTTTTCCCCGGGCTGGCGAGATGCAGTACAGTCCTCTCCCGGGATGGGGGACGGCAGCCTCCAGGTGGCCCCCCCATCACGAGGGTCAGCAGCCTGCACACTTCCCACCACTCTGCCCCCACACAGCCGTCTTGTTTGTCACCTCGGCACAGTGCTCAGTAGATTACCTGGGAGAGTCAGCCCTGTGTTATTCGATAGACTGTACTAGATGCCCTAGCCCACCTGCAGGCTCCCGCGCGTGTTCTGCGCACAGTGAAGGTTGGCTTAGCTGAGCTGGGAGGTTCAGTGCTGGGTGTGTTAAATGCACGTTCACCTGATGGTATTTTCAACTTAAGTTTGTTTGTTTATTTATTTATTTTTAAAAAGATTTCTTTGACAGAGAGAGAGGGAACACAAGCAGGGGGAGTGGCAGAGGGAGAAGCAAACTCCCTGCTGAGCAGGGAGCCCGATGTGGGGCTCGATCCTAGGACTCTTGGATCATGACCTGAGCCGAGGGCAGACGCCCAACCTACAGAACCACCCGGGCGCCCCTTACGTTAGGTTTATTGGGATGTAACACCGCCGCCCGCCCCCCCCCCCAATCAGTCGAGGAAGAGACTACATGAGAGCGGCCTTGCCCGTGAACTTGGCAGCAACCTTTCCTGAGGCCTGTCAGCGTTCTTGGAAAAGCGTCTGGTGTTTTCACGTCTTTTGCTCCAATCGGTCTTGCGTGGCAGGAGGGAGAGCTGATGGGGGGCTGGCCCCTCCACTCAGCCTCTCAGCCTTGGCTGGTAGAGTCCTCAGCAGAAGCCTTTCTGGGTGCGCAGATAACGATTTTTTTCAGCACTTTGCTGGTCGGTTGGCTGGCCCCTGGCAGCGCAGGCATGTCCGTGTAGGGACTGCCGTGTGTTTGGGAGGGGAGCTGAGGTTCCGGGCCATAGGTGTGTGCTCTCACAGTGTGTCAGCTCTTGGTGTACGCGTGTACATGGCGGGGGGGGATGGAGCATGGCCTGGGGGGGCACAGGCCTCCTGCAGCCACAGGCCCGGGCACTGTGTTTGTGGACATGTGGGAGATTGAGGTTAGCTTCCTGTCTGTGGTAAGAGAAGTGAAACATGTTGTACCCTTTTAGGCCTGATAAATGGGATGAACCGTGGTCTCAGCAGCTTCCGACGAGTCTGTTTATGCCGCCTGCGTTTTCTGAGGCCACGGCCGGGTCTGAGGAGGGCGGCCTGTCCTCCGGGTCACTGACTGCACTGTGGACACGTGGTTAGAGGGAAAGTCTGTGTTTTGCCCTAGGATCTCTCTGTTTCATCCTGTCCTGGCATCTGTCTTGGTCTTTTTACTGATGGGTGTGTGTGTGTGGATTGCAGAGTTGTAGAGTGGGTTTAAATAACAAGGCCGTGATTTAAACTTTATTTCTTTTTTAAAGATTTTATTTATTTATTTTTTGGGGGGGAGTAGAGGGAGAAGTCCCAACGCGGGGCTCGATCCCAGGACCCCGGGATCATGACCTGAGCTGAAGGCAGACGCTTTACCAACTGAGCCACCCAGGCGCCCCAAACTTTATTTCTTTTTTAAAGATTTTATTTATTTATTTTTTGGGGGGGAGTAGAGGGAGAAGTCCCAACGCGGGGCTCGATCCCAGGACCCCGGGATCATGACCTGAGCTGAAGGCAGACGCTTAACGGACAGAGCCACCCAGGCGCCCGAAGGCCTTGATTTAAGTAGGGAAGCGAGAACAAATAACATGCACATTTGATACTCAGTTGTATCACTTACGTATTTACTTAGACACTCTGGCAATTGGTCAAATATTCTACTTCAGAAAATAACCACAATACCGTCTGCCTTAATGTTTTGGTTCGGCGGGCTGTATGTCATCAGGGCTAGGTGTCTGGGAAGAAAGATAATTAGGGCGCTTTTGTACCACGAACATCCTGAGTGCTGCTAATGAACGCACCGCCTCAGATCCCCGGGCAAACAGTTTGCAGTTGAAGTCCGCCTTCTGTTATGCACCTGACAGCTGAATGCAGCGTGGCACCTGCTGTGTTGAAGCCCCCCTCCTCTCTCCCCCCATAAGTTGTCGTTGTGGTTTCTTTTGGGTGGTGAGAGCGTGGCAGAGATGCGGGGCTCCTGCCCACGTGTCCCCTGATGGAACGGGGACACCAGTGATCGCTGTCTTCACCCCTGATGGGGAAAGTGGGCCCCACTCTTGAGGAGTTTAAGATCAAAAGAGGAGTATGGCAAATGGCCCCAGAGTATTTATGCCTCCAGTGTCTGCGGCTTCCATCGTGTGCTGAGCTAATCTGAGTCTTCCCAGACCACTCCACTGGGATTGCCGATCCTACGTCCTCTGTCCTCGTCCCCTCTCCTGGACCATCCTGCTTTCATTTCCTTTTTCCTCTTTGGGTCTTCGAGCTCCTCTTGTCTTCCCAAGGACTCCTTCCCTGGCACCTCTGCCCGACTGGTACATGAGGTTCACCCCTCACCCCTGCGGTGTGCAGGCAAGGGGAGCAGTCCCCTCTCTTCCAGCTGGGGTCCAGCCGGGAGAGGGCCCCGATTATTGGGTTTCTGGCTCAAAAAGTTCCTTACTGTCTGGGAGGCATGGTCAGAGCAGTTTAATGCCTAAAACTTAGACTGTGTAGGGGGAGTGATGGAGGAAGTGCAGAGCATTTTCCGCACCAGGCTTCTGCTGGAGGAATAAAAGTCTAGGGGTCAGAAGTATTGATGTAGATTAAACCTGACCTTTCCCATCTGATCTGTACTTTGTTTCCAGAATGGCTAAGCGCCCCCCCCGCCCCCCAGAATAAACAGTGGCATGTTTTTCAAGTTTTATGCTCTTCTTCATTTTTGAAAATTCAGTAAATAATAAAATCTGAACCTGCTCACATGCGCTCTGGCCTGTCCCGTTCCTCTGTCTCGGCGTAGAACACAAATTTGCACGCTCTTCACAGTAACACATGTTTGAAGATAAAAAGTATTAGAAATTGACTTCAAGAACTCATTTTTTTTGGGCTCGCAGGTTTGTTGCCAGTTGCATCTTTAAGGCCCCTTCAAATTATATGGCTGTTCAATTTAAAATATTTATGTAGTATTTATTTTGTGACTGGAGGATTGCACAGTTGATTTTCTTTACCTCTCAATTTTCTTTATTGCCTTAACATTTGGAGGTACTGTTCCTGAGATTGTATATCTTAAGACTGTGATTTCTTGGATTTTTTTTTTTTAAGTTTACTGAACTGCCTGGTGGAGATTTTGTCAGATTCGCTCATTTGTGTGGTGCAGAAGTTTATGGGAAATGAATGAGAGAACACGGGATATTGGGCGGCATACATCATGGTGTATTGATTATTGCCAGAGGCGCGTTTGGGTGCCTGCAGGGGCGATGGGGTGGTGCAGGTTTGTTATGGGATTGGGTCTGTGGGTGCCCAGCATGCTGCGGGTGTAGAGGGTACATGGTAGTGGCTATTACTAGGGCTTCTTTTTGAGGCCAGAAAGTAGTAGAAAGTGGTTATGGGGGCACCCGGCTGGCTCAGTCAGTGGAGCACATGATTCTTGATCTTGGGGTTGTGAGATCGAGCCCCATGTTGGGGGTAGTTTACTTGAAAAAAATAAAATGTCTTTATAAAAAAAAGTG